GTAGAATCAATCTAAGTAAACGGCCTAATGAATTTAATTAAACGATTGCATTTTGGCTCAATTAAACTAGTTTCATAGATTCAAGTAGAATGTTTTAGAAAACGGAGTTTAATGAAATTAATAAATTGAACTTGATAGTTGTCAGACAGTTGATTGAATTTTTTTACTTAAAGGACATTTTAATTGATTTGATTTATTTTTTTTTCAAAGTGCATAATCCAACTGCCACTAAATGTTAATACATTACTATGAACTGAAAACAGAGAGGAATATCGTTCAATACTAGAATTTTGCAGAGAGACTGGACTCAAAAAGGCTTACATCTGATGCCAACACCAAAAAAGTCCGTTCCTACGTTTTCCTCATTCCTTTCTGAAAGAACACTACTACTACTATTACCTAAGGTTTCTTGGAAATTGAAAAATATTCAAGAACCTTTTCAAAACGCTGAGAAACAAAAGTCAAGCTACTCTGCCACTGGACCTCCACCCGTTATCGTGGAAACTAAAAGAATGTTGAAAACTAATAATATATTTTTATTATGTTATGTTTTCATGCGTGTTTTTGTTTTATATTCCTATGTCGATGCGGTAAATGTCAGTATTTAGAATAATAATGTTGGCATATTAAAGACAACACTGCATATAATTTTTAAAACGGGTAAGCAGGCTTATTTACTCGAAAAGTTGATTCCTCGTGGAAACCAAATTACTCTAAGTCTGCGGCACAATGATCTACTTTCACATTCCTATACATCATTCGTCAGCATTTAAAAGGTTCTTCACTGATAATGTGGTCAAGTTATGTAATTCTCTACTAGCTAACTATAAGAACTTACATTTGCAAAGCTTCAAAAAGGCAGACAAGTTGCACTTTCTGAGCTCAACACATTGATTGATAAATTCAGTTTGTTTATAATAGGTTTGCTCTATTGTTTCTATTCTTTCTATACATGGTGTAAACGTTATGGTAGTCATTATTGAAATGGGTAATAGGGGGGTCAAAACAAGTCAAAAAGTTCATATGACCCATGGTCCAAAAGTCAATAGATTTTTGTCTAAATTGCTTTAAGTGCTTTATATCGACCACAATCACCACAATCTTACTAATTTTTATAATCTAATCTAAAACGTTTTTAAATTGGGTATTTAGCAAATAAATGGCATTAAGTTTTTCTAAGTTAAGAAAAAATTTGTAGTCAGTAAGTATGTAAGTAAGCGCGTCGGTCTTTCATCACTCTTATCGAACCGGCAATCGATCGCAAACGTAACAGTGGTTTCTTATCGTTTTGCATAGATAAATTGCTTTATCGTTTTGTCGAGCAGAGCATCGGGCGTGTTGTTTTGTTTTCGTTCGCGTACGTCGTCGTGTTTATTTACAATGTTTTCGAATCAAGAGTTCGCCGACATGTTGTTAGTTTACGGTAAGCTCGTCAGAATTCAAATCTTGCAGCTCAAATTTATCGCGACAGATTTCGCCAACGGGTACACACCCAGACAGAAGGACATTTTTGCAAGTGTACCAAAGACCTCGAGATACAGGAAGGGTTCGTCGTAATGAAGCTTGTGTGGAAAGTGGAGGACGACATTTTGAACACCTTCTTTAAATACAAAAAAGTGCAGTGTGGGTTTTAAAAAGAAAAACAATGCATGTATCAAAATTGGGTTCCCTATTTATAAGTGGTTTTTTTTAATACGTTCAATAAACTTTCACACTCCAGGTGAAGCGCTGAGACAGTTAGTGGTAAGTCCGTTTTTTTTAATTATTTGCATTTTACGAGTACATTATCAAATAATGAAATAATACCTAAGAGCCAAAAATAACAAACTCCGTCTTTATTTACACTGCGTTCCGTCGTAATTTGCGTCTGGCATTGCGGCGTTGTCAGATTTTATTTTACTTGAAAGTCGCTTTTCTCTTAAAAAAATGCCGTTTTGATCCCCATGTTATATGAATCTTCTTGCTTCTTTTAACCCCCTCTATCACCCATTTAAATAATGACTATCATAACGTTTACACCCTGTATATTAAAAATGTGTTGGTATTCTGGATTTACTCCGTTTTAATACTCCTCTTACTGTTATCTGATTCATGTTGCTATCCTAATGGTTTGTGATTTCTGGTTATAGTATGGTTCAGTGGTAGAGTGGCCAGGACTAAAATTCACTATACTATGATCAGTTTCTGAATGAAGGCATTATTATTTATTATATTATATTTTATTATATATATATTATAATTTATTATTATTATTATTACTGTTATTATTGAAATAGTAACATACTACAACCCAAACATTTTTACTGAATATACGATACGAATTATCTACGTCACTGGCAGGGATGTATTGAATCATTCCTCTTATTCCCTGCATGCCCTTTATACATGTGTCTTATGTCGGTAGTTGTTGTGGAAAGGGCAAAGGGCACGGGCATGAAAGCATTTCGTGACCAGATAAGTGCAACTGTGGGTGAATATGGTAATCCTTATACACACTTAGATCGCAAACGTCCCGTTTTATAACGGATTCTCTGGCCTGGTAGCTGCACTCTACCAAATTAGATTTACATTCGGAGTTTCAGGAAAACAAATGCTCTCCTAAGATTGAAATTCAGACGTATTTATCTCCTATGTCTTTTGCTATACAGGGCGTCCAAGATAATGAACATATGCATAGAGATCTCAATACCTGTGGGAGGTAGAGCTTAGGTTTTTTGAGACGTATTTACATGGCGTTGCGAAGAACTAAAATTTGGCGAAATCGTTTTTATTTTCATCTGACTTTATATTTTGAAATATCAAAAAGGTATTGTAACTTTTTCATTGGCGCTTTTTAGGCACTACATGTTACATTTGTTTTTTTAGTTATAAAGGAAAATGTGTTTTGTTTATTTTTTTTTGTTTTAAGTAGGCGTTGCAAACAAATAATGTAAGAGTATGTGATTCTGATAGGTGCATATTACATATTACATAATCATATTATGAGGTTAAATCTCATAAAAAAGTGCTTAATATGTGATATTCATAATAACGAATACATTTTTAATATTATGTTTATTTTATTCACAATAGGTATTCAAATAGGTTTCCATTATTCTCTAAATTTAAATATGATCTTCTATTAGTAGAATTCAAAACATCACGTAACATTTCTGGCGTAATCATACTAAATGCTTCCATTGCACATTCTTGTAACTGCTGGATTTGGCTACTCCTACATTTTTTTCCATCTGCCTAGATGATATCTCAGTGTTCTCAGCAACTGCTTGTAAAACACTATTCTTAGTTTCCTCTAAGAATACCTTTTTCCGAGACGTAGCACTTTTTTTGAAGTTTAAATTTCGAGCCAACTCTAAGAAAATGGACTTACTTGGTTGCCTTCTTTCAGGAAATTTATCAAGACACATTTCTGCAGTATTTTTAGTATTTTTGTATCACAAAATGTATCACGTCAGCATGTCGAACTTCTCTTCATCGTTAAAATGACCGCCTGTCACCTTTGACGTTAATAAAGCAATGTTAACATACTCGGTGATACGTATTTACGTAAAGTCAAGCTAGGCTATTTGTTTAGGGTTAAGAGGGACTTTTCTCCACATAATCTCCTCACTGTGTACAAGGCCAGATAAGGCCTAGCGAGTGCACTTCCTACATGTTTGGGGTGTTGCCGCCCCGGCTACATTATCCACATTGTCAACGGGCTTTGCTCCTCAAATCTTTCTTCCATGATGCCGCTGCACGATGTGCCTGCCAGATAGTCCCGCCTCCGTACATCTACAACTGGTCGATACGGCCGCTCCTTTGTCTCTGGAGTATTGAGATTGTGGAACAGTCTACATCGGGGTTTCCCAACCTTTTTTTTTTTTGAGGCTTCCCGGACTATAAGTTATATTTTCATGCTCCCCTTTATTTTTCCAATAAATACAAAAAACGCACATTATATAGGTAGAAAGACTTTTATTTTAATTCTAATAAAGAAACTTTAAAAGATTAAATAAACTAATACATTTTTTTTATCGAAAAACTTGAATAAAATAAGAGTAGGTACTAATGAGACACTTGAGATTGCACGTTCTGTACCAATTGGTTGATTCTAGGTTCTGCTTTTGCCAGAGCTATCATCAGGTCGCTATCGACATCAAGACGATTTCGCTGTTTATTTTTAATTAAAACTAGAGCAGAAAAGCCTGTCTCACATAAGTAAGTTGAAAAAAAAGGAACTAGTATTTGATTTTTTTGATCCAAAGTTTCTCCAATTTTAGAAGATGGAAGTCACCTTTCATGGATCAATCAGCCTTCTTTTCTAGAAATTATTCCTGAACTTCTTCTGGTAATTGTGACCCATCGACAACAAATGGATTTCTTGTCATGTGCCATATTGGTGACTCTGAATTGATGTCTCGATCGGCGAAATTCGTCTTCCAGCGCTTGCAAATGAGTTTTAATGTCAGCTTTTAAATTTGCATCGAGTATGTTATTTTTAAATGCTTCTAACAGCCGCGAAAAAAGATGTAACATTTTCAGGAGACACTTTTTGATTCCAGAGTTGAAGCTTTGATATGAACCCCTGAATATAATAGTAATTGTTTATTATAGTGTTGTTTCTGCCTAGAGATTCACGACTTGACTTGATTTTCAAGCTACTTGACTTGACTTGACTTGATATCAAGTCAAGATTAAGTCAAGTATTTGTTTTTGAAATTCAAGTCAAGTCAAGTAGTTACACATCAAGTAACTTGAAAATCAAGTTTTCAAGCTAGCTACTTGATTTTTCTTGAAAAAATGTACTTTTTTGATATTAATCTGTTCAACTGCCAAAACGGAATAACAATAATGTATGTATATATATAGATTTAATCTTTTATTTAAAAAACATCTAAAAACGAAAACTCCAACAAACTCAGTTTAATAATACATGAAATAATATGAAATAAAAATGCGAAATATTCTGAATTCTGACAATAAAACAATAGAAAATCAACAAACATGAAAATGAATATCTAAAATAAATCTTTAATATCCTCATTTGCCATCCATGATTTGAGACACAAAAGGCTTCCAACGGAGTTATCGCCTAATCGATTTCTTGTTTTGGTAAGAGTCAAGGCAGCTCTAGAAAACTGCCTTTCAACTGGAGCTGAAGAAGCTGGCGTTGCCAAAAAGTCTTTGGCCATTGCGGCAAGGTTTGGAAAAATGCATTCGTGTCTCTTCCACCATTCTAGAATATGTTCAGTACTGTCAGCTCTTGGGTCAGAAATATATTTGTCGATTTCGTAACGCCAGGCCATATCGTCGTCTGCATTATGGGCAGGTTTTCTATTAAGCAAACTTAGTAGATCTATTTCAAACTTTTCGACACTACTATCTTTACTAGGGTTTGAAGATGCTGCTACTTGAAGTGATGGTTCAGAAATTTGCAGAGAGTCAGCCCTAAAATATTGTGCTTTAAAAATATCTTCAAAATGTTTAATTGCTTCTATCTGCAACTCTTTTCCCCAACTTGTATTGGAGAATGTATCCATTTTATGTCGGGGGTCTAAAATCAGGACAACACAGTACATCCAGTTATTCCGTTCCTAAATGTCTAATGATTTTGTCCCTTGCCGCTTGAATACTATTTATAATCTTTTCATCGATTTCATCTCGATCAGGTTTATTGTCAAGTACCATAGCCCACGATTCTAGTCTATCCAGCAACATATTAATGCCGATTATTACCATGGGTAAAGTAGCATATGATTCACCTTCTAAAATTATGGAAATACTCTTAAAAACATTAAGGTACTGGCAAATTCGTTCAATTAACGACCATTCTGTGTCGGTTGGCAAATTTTCTACATTATCACAAAGGATGTTAAGTGCGTTTCTCATATTTAGACTCCATCTCAACATGTCTAACGTGGAGTTCCACCTTGTTATGACATCAAGTTTTGGCATAGTAAATTTCAGGTTTAAAGTGGTGCAAAATTTTTCAAAATCTTCACGTAAATGTTCAGAGTTTTTTAATTTTTTAGCAAGGGAATGGATTTTTCTTACAGAAGAGGGCGGAACTTGGCAGTCATCATCATCATCATCTGATATATCTGTCAAAATGTTGGCGGTTTCTTCAACCTCAGAATCAAGGATTTTCATAAAATCTCTAGCTGCCAAGTTTAAGATGTGTGCAAAACATACAAAGTGGATATTTTTTGTATCGATTTCAGAAATATGCGTTTGAAGTTCTCTGATGAACGTAAAATTACTATTTGTATTGTCGGTAGTAATACCTTGTATGTATTTTGTAACATCGCAGAATTGTAATACTTCGAAAAATAGCTTTGCAATTGCATTACCAGTATGTTGCCCATGTGCTGGATACAATGAAGTTTCCAATTTTTATCGATAAAATGGGCGGTAATACCATAGTACCCCTTCATATTAAAAGAAGACCATCCATCGATTGTGAACGAGATTTTTGAATTACATGTTTTCAAAAATGACTTAATTGTTTGCTGCGCTGCTGCAAATGTTTTTAATGTCAAAGATTTCATTTGATTCCGACCAGGTAGAGTTGCCTTTGGATTTAGGAATTTGTACATTTTTCCACTTATAGCATCTTCAAAAAAGTTGAAAGGGAGATACTTCTGTGCTATATATTCCACAAGTAGTTTTTGAAATTTGTCTTGTTGAAAGTTTTCTGAACAACTAGTGGTCTGCAAAATAAACAAAACTGGAGTTAGTAAAATGCAGCGCAAGGTGCATGAATGTTTAAGTCATAATATCCCACTTTTAAATGAAAAAGTAAGTAATTTTTTTGAAATGCCCTGTATAAAAATTTATAGCATGTCCCACAATTTTGAATAGAATGTCTTAAAGTCAATATAGATTTTTGTAAATACATGGTGTGTCCGGAAAGTAATGATCTTCATTTATTTGTGACGCAGCTTGGCAACGTAGCGCAATGCGACCAGTTGGGATGGGTGGGGGGAACCTTCAGCTTTACAGTGGTACACTTGCCAGTTACCTCCGACCTCTTGGAGAGTGTGTACGCTGATTTTTGTTAGCCCTTGTTTTGCGACATCGTCGAAGTTACGATGGAAAAAACTTTAGAGCAAAGATACGCGATAAAGTTTTGTGTGAAACTAAACAAAACACCGAAGGAGACATTGGATTTGCTTCAAACAGCGTTTGGGGATGCCTGCCTGTCATATTCACAAATAAAAAAGTTTCACAAGTCGTTCCGGGAAGGGCGAGAGGAGGTCGATGACGAAATGCGTTCAGGACGTCCATCGACATCACGAACAGATGACAATGTGACCCGTGTGCGAGAAATTCTCAGCACAGACCGTCGACTGAGTGTCCGCTTGATTGCTGACCTTTTGCACTTGCCAAAGACCACTGTTCACGAAATTGTGTCGGAAGACTTAGCCATGCGCAAAATTTGTGCAAAACTTGTGCCCAGAGTTTTGACCGACGTTCAAAAACTCCATCGTGTCGCTGTGTGTGAGGAACTGAAACAGTTGTTTGCGGATGATCCAAATTTCCTAGACAATGTAATAACGGGAGATGAGACATGGATTTTCGAGTACGACCCAGAGACAAAGCGGCAGAGTGCAGAATGGCACACGTCCGCGTCGCCACGCCCGAAGAAAGCTCGAATGAGCAAGTCCAAGATCAAATCCATGGCCATTGTCTTCTTCGATGCTAAGGGAATCGTGCACCACGAGTTTGTACTCCCTGGCCAGACCGTCAATGCTCAATTTTACAAAGAAGTTCTTCAAAGACTGAAACACAGGGTTGCCCGCGTTCGAAGAGAAATTCGATCTTCATGGAAACTCCACCACGACAACGCACCGTCCCATACCGCCTTTGTTACCGTCGCCTACTTGACTCGGATCGGTGTCACGACGGTGCCCCAACCACCGTACAGTCCCGATCTGGCTCCAGCGGACTTCTTTTTGTTTCCTCGACTAAAAAGGGGCCTCAAGGGACAGCATCTGGACACCCTAGAGAACATTGAAGCTACTTCGACGGCCTCCCTGAACAGCATCTCAGTCGAGGAGTTCCAGGGAGCATACGCGGCTTTTAAATCACGCTGGCAAAAGTGTATCGATGCAGGAGGGTGCTACTTCGAAGAATATTGAGTTTATTTACTCAAATGATCAATAAACGATGAAATAAAAAATAGAGCTCATTACTTTCCGGACAAATCTTGTATGCTCTGATGAGTTTTATTGATGCAGGGTGCCCAAAAACTGCTGCACCGACTTCAAAATCAGAATTTTAAATGAGACATCATTACACAATTATAACAACAAACAAAAATTATGTTATATAATAAAAAAGCGGTTCTAAATTAGAAGTCGACAGTACTTCTTATATTTAAAAAACTTTTAGAATTGTTATCCGAAAGTTGTAATTTTTTCCGTTCAAGAGCCGCCTTTTATTTAATATTTTGATATTTCGCCTACCTCGATATTTATTAATAATTTATTAAACCTTTTTAATATAGAATGACTTTTAAAATCAAGGAACCTATAATGATTATAATAAACATTATAAAACTATAAGTGTGGCTTAAAATGAGCTGATCCGGATTTTGGAAAAAATAACTTTTTAAGGGGTTTTCGTGATCAAGCCATCCAAATTAGGCATTTGTTTTTTTCTAGCATGATTCCTTTATGTGTTTTTTTAAAGATTTTTCAAAAATGGATGAAGTTGGAAAAAACAAATGAAGGATTCTGGTGCAGCACTTTTCGGACACCCTGTATAAATAAAATTCTAATAGGTAATTTAATTTTTTTTGATTGCCAAGAATCTTTTATATAATTATTTTTTTCTACACCCTGTAGTTTCTGAGGAAGAGGTATGCTTACGCCCCTAATAAAATGCCCACCCTGTACAATTATTTACTATTTAGTTTCAGCTCAAATCTAATTATTATTAATTTTTTACCTTCTCAAGCCAATTTGTAATTGTGCTACGCCTATTCGAACTGGCAGAGGCTTCTGCTTCGGATTTAGGTGGGCTGGATCTACCAAAAATGTTTTCGTAGACTCTAGTGTGTTTAGCTTGCAAATGCCTCCTTAGTGAAGATGTTCCACAGTTTTTCATTTTTAAAACTGTATTTTTTACGACACATAGGGTACATTTGCCTTGTTTGTCAGTAGTTTTCTTACTCTTAGGATCCTGCTCGATTATGAAATAATCCTTAATTTTATTCGTTTTATTAGCTTTAACTCGTTTTCCCTTTGGTGGCACCGACCCTGCACTTTCTTATTCTAGTTCGGTGTCATCAGATTCTGACACTTTTTCATTTACGATATATTCTGAGTCGCTGCTTTGAAAAGGTTCCGACTCCATTTCTGACAAATCACTTCTTAAATCAGACATAATAATTCTTTTGCGGTCGCCCTTTATCCTTGAACAACGCTGCTCTACTAATCGCACGAGCACGTCCGTCGTCATCGAGTGCCTGCTTGCTGTGTGAATCCCCTATTTAACCTCGGTGAATCCCCTATTTTAACGCTTCGATGCGCATTTCACAGATCTACTATCAAGTAATATCAAGTAGTTTGATTTTACTTGATATCAAGTCAAGTAGTTCAGTCCGAAAATCAAGTCAAGTCAAATATCAAATTTTTAAAAGCTTGAGTTTTCAAGTCAAGTATTTAAGAAAAAATTCAAGCTACTTGTCTTGATGAATCTCTATTTCTGCCCTGAAGTTTCAAGTTTATCTCATTCAAGGAGTCAAATATGTCAGTTGAATAAACCAACCTCCATTGAAATGTGTCATCTTTGAACATTGTCAAGAAATCGTGTTTTTCTTTGAACTCAAGAACAAGAATTACCTCTTCTTTCAATTCATAAAGTCGAACTAACATGTTGCCTTTGGACAGCCAGCGTATTTCTGTATGGAACAGAAGAACTTTGTGGTCAGAATGGAGATCCTCGCAAAGTAAAGTTGATAACCGACTGTTCAAAGCGCTCCTCTTGATGTAGTTTACAATCCTTATAGCCGAGTCCCAAGTCAGTCGTAATTTCTGTGGCAATGTTTTGGAAGCCAAAGCTTGCCGATGAATAACACAATGCGTGATTTTTTTTCTTCAGCTTTTTAGCTAAGCCCGACCGTACACCTATCATTGTAGGTGCGCCATTTGTGCAAAGTTCAATGAGTTTCTTCCAGTCCAAATAATTATTTTCGACAAAATTTGATATTTAATTAAATATATCTTCAGTTGTAGTACCTGCTGTCAAAGATTGGGAGTACAAAATCTAAATTAACTGTGCACAATTAACGATGTCGGTGGATTCATTCCAACTAATGGCAAAAAATGACATAATTTTACTTTGTTAGTTATTTGTGACTTTATGTCTGCTGGAATGTAATCGATTCTACGCTTGACTGTGTTATTCGAAAGAGAAATAGGCTTCATTTTTTGCTCTGCATCTTCTCCTAAAATTATCTGCGTGGCTATTAGGACACATGGTTTTATTAATTCTTCACCGATAGTATTTTGCTTTGCTATCATAAAAGTTATTT